TGCGGATGAGCTTGGCAGCGGCAACCATGTTGCTCAAAGCAGGCTTCACTTCAGCGTATTTGCGGGTCTTAAGACCACAATCAGGATTTACCCAAAGGATGTTGCTTTCAAGGACTGCAAGCATCTTGTTAATACGGTCTGCAATTTCTTCAGTGGATGGAATTCTAGGGGAGTGGATGTCGTAGACTCCAGGACCAATACCAGCACCATACTTCACACCCTCGCGGAAAACAGAGAGAAGCTTCTCATCTGATCTGGAGTTCTCGATGGTGATCACATCGGCATCCATGTCTATGATCGAGTGAATGATGTCATTGAAGTTTGAGTAGCACATATGGGTGTGGATCTGTCCAAGAGATTTAACTGTTTAGCCTCCCATGCATGCCAAACCAAATTTTACACTATAGTGTAGCACATCTTAAATGCATATACATGCACCAAAATTTTTTATAGAAACGAAAATTTTAAGAACCACTTTCAAGTTCTGTTATGGAAAACAACCATTTCCACGGATTTTATTTTTCCTCTTAAAATTATACTTTTCAATAATCTTTGTCTACTCTTGGAAGTTTATAAGCCTGCCTTATAATTTGTAAATCTGACTTGTTCACCTAAAATTATAGAGAAGCACTAGAGATAGGTAACTAAGGGCATTGAAATTTAGAAATAGGGTGTCAGAGAGATAAGAACCTGTGTAGTGTCTTGCACGCCACAGTTGGTAATCCTAAAGGAGTGAACAGCCCAATCCAGATAAAATGCCTGCTCAGACTTCCTAAGAGGCAAACCCTCTCTCAAAGCAGCCTCATCAATCTGGATGACAGTAATGCCAGCCTTCTCAAGATCCTCAACCTCATCCTTAATGGCCAATGCAATCTGATAGCAGGTCTCATGCCTGAAAGAGGAGGTAAATTTCAGTAAAATAACTGCTAGAAAATCTTGTGAAAATATTGATTATCATAAAATCACTTTGGTACTTATTTCTAACATTGACTAACCTTGGCTGGTCATTTCTCACAAAGGACCAGTTCAAGATTGTTACAGGTCCAGTAAGCATTCCTTTCATTGGTCTCTTAGTCATACCCTGTGCCATTGATGACCAGAATACAGTCATGGCCTTGGGGCGGCTCACATCACCATAAATGATAGGAGGTTTGACACAGCGGGAGCCATATGACTGAACCCACCCATTCACTGTGAAGGCAAAACCAGACAGTTGCTCACCAAAGTACTCGACCATGTCATTCCTCTGCATTGACAATGTATTGGCAAAAGAAAATGAGAATTTAACACCTTATTATGATAAATTATATCTTAGATTAAGTATTGAACTAGGATAATAAGGATAAAAACTAACTTCTGGTTCTCCATGGACCAAAACATCAATATCAAGTTCTTCCTGGATCTTGACAACTTTGCTAATTTCCTCCTTAATAGAGTTGACATAATCATCTTCAGAGATCCTGGGAGAATATGAGCAAAATCACATTATTAGAATATGCAATTAAGGACTTGAATAGTAATGCACCCTTTAAAGGTAAGAAATCTCACTTCTTAGCCTTATATTCACGACGTACTCTCCTAAGGTCCATGGTCTGAGGGAAAGATCCAATGGTGGTGGTAGGAAGCAAAGGGAGGTTCAACTTCTTTTGCTGAGCATCCAGCCTAGCACTTACGTTTGTGGCACGGCGATGATCAGAACCCTTCAAGGCAGCAGCCTAAGAAGGAAAAGAAACCGTGGGTCACTTAAAAATTGGAACTTTGGAAGATGGAAAAAGTTTATGGAAGATCACTCACAGCTTTCTGGACAGCCTCATTTGTCACCCTAGGGGAGGATTTTCGTGAAGCATGTGCTGTGGCATTAGAAGAGAAGATTGCCTGCAAATACGCAAGACAAATGTTTAAGAGCACTGCAATTGATGGTACCTCAATGCATACCATAGGTAACAAGCCATTAAATAAAAAAACACTTATAGCAGAGAAGAATCATCTCACTGACATATTATCATACTAATCAAGACCTAAGACAATTAAGATACAGCTACCTATTCCACATTAATTAAAATTCCTATATATCAACAAAATCACCATCTGATGATAGAGTGAGGAACAAGAAGTGACAGAGAGTATGCCTAAACCCCCAGAACAAACTATAGAGTCAAGGGGGTTCTGGATGTGGTTTATTTGTTGGAAATTTAAAATTGTCTAAGAATTTCATAAGCATCAGAAAAATATACCTCATCCTTCTGGCCAACTAATGCTTTGGCCAGGGCATTTACTTCAAGCACTTTCTGTGCAGCAAATGCAAGCCAGGACTTGAGCTCTTTGTCCAGCTTAGTTTCATTCACTAGGTCAACCGCAGTGTGGAGCAGAGAGCATGATGTGGAGACTACAACCTTGTCTGTAGTAGAACAAAAATAAATATATTATTTAACTTCCAGTGAATTAAACTGAAATTTCAATTAGAAAAGGTATTTGTAATGACTTATACCTTTGCCAACAATGCCCTCAAGAGCATGCAAGATGCTGAGGGAAGAAGCAAGATCATTTGCCCAGATGTTCCTTCCATCAACCACTCCAGCAAACAGGAGTTTGCCTGAAGGAAATCCACCCTTAATCAAGTCAAGGGTCTTTGTACCACGAACCAAATCAAATCCAAAGCCAGAAATCCCCTTCAAACATGTGAGTGTTTTGTATGCTTCAGCAGTAACATCAGCAAAATATGTTTGAACCAGGACTTGCAAGCCAGATAGAATTGATTCTAGCTCTGAGTAGGCATGAGTAAATGCCTGCAATTGGTGTGATTCCAGATCCAAAACAAGGGTAGGCTCATCAAACTGAATCCAGGTTGCACCCGCTGCCTTTAGTTCACATATGACTTCCCTGGAATGTATTAATTTTACAAAATATAATTTGTGTGTTCCTTAAAGCTACATAAGGTAGAGATTCATTGATGTCACAAAACATTTAGTCCCTTACTTGTAAATTGGAAGAATCTTGTCAATCAAAGAAAGAAGAGAAAATGACTTCTCAACCCCCTTTGCTGGTTTTGATAGCAACAAGTATGACACAGGGCCTATAAGAACAGGGACAGTCTCAATTCCAAGCTGCATCACAAAAATGTAGAATAACTTAGAACCATTAAACAACATCCATTAGAGAGAATTTTTTCTATCAAACACCATCATCGATGAAACAAAAAATTGTTAATCACTATAAGCATAATTTTCCGCACTAATAAGTAAAAACCACATGTTCCTAACATTACAAATTATTTATAATAGAGAAATTATGATTATCCTTAAGTGAGATTGTTGTGAGCATAATTTTCAGTACACCAGACAATGCTAATAAGAAACTGAATACCACGGAAACAGAAGCTTACTACTGTTGTTTCTACAAAGGAAAGAAAAATCTTGCACTGTTTTAGTCCTCATGTAAAAGGATTCTAACTAAAAAAAATTAAACATGCCTTTTGGTACTACAAGTAAGCTAATCAATATCTACAAAGTATAAATTTCAAATACTAGGAGAAAAGGAACTGAAAAAGCTTTGAATGCCTAAACTTTCCCCTAAAATTGAAAAAAAAAAAAAAAAGGCTGAATGAATGAAAAAAGATAGCAAGAGTCTAGCAAACTTACATCTTTGGCCTCCTTGTATTCATTAACAGCCTTGTGAGATGCATAAGAGAACTTCACATCTGGTCCAAGTTCAGGAACAATGAAATGACTGTCACCAAAATCAGTTCTCTCGTTAATTTTGCATCACACAAGATAAAAAAAAGGGGCAAAGTTGGATGCCATGCTTGAAATTTGAATGATTTTAAAGAACATTAATCACTTACTAGTTGGTGTCAAACCACTTGGTCATTTCCATAGCAGGGACAGAGGCATTGCCCCTAGCCATGGAGAAGTAAACATCAAAACCAATCTCACCACCATTCCAACCATATCTCGGGGGAACAGCACCAAGCATTGCCGTTGTGTCCAGCACTTGATCATAATATGAAAATGTATTGCTAGGAATATACTTGATCCCAGCATCAGCCATTTGTTTCCAGATAGCTGACCTGAGATCTGCTGCAACCATCTGCAATTCGTCAGAACTGCTCTTCCCGTCCCAGAAAGACTCCAAGGCAAACTTGAGCTCTCTCTTTGGCCCCATCCGAGGGTAGCCAACAATATGCGACGCCATTGCTCTGTTTTTTCCAGACACAAGAACCAATCAGCTGAACAAATTTAGCTTAACATGTGACAACACAACAAATCAACAATTAACATAGAAAATCAACAAATATAAATAATCAAAGTGAAGAACTACAACATCGAATCTAAAATCAAAAACTAAGTATCGAAAGCTTCTTCAACTCAGATCTGAAGAAACTTGAATCCAAAAATCCAACTGCTATAACACGTGATCTGGAATCGTATTTAGCATCAAATTAACACAAACCGTTTCCAAGTATGACGCTCCGTATGGATCCTCCCTCACTCCTCAGTGATTGGAAAACTTTAAATTAAAAAAATTTAAGGTATCTAGAGCTTTAAACGCATTCGTCTAAGCCAAAATCTAAACTAAAATACCAATCACAAAACTGTAAATTTTCGTTTTGATTCCCTCATTTTCTCTGCTTCCAAACAAGAACGCTGAAGAAATATATAAGCATGCATTAAACTACAACCTCTAAAACGGATCTGCAACAGGATTTGAATAGAAATACAAGATTTTGCGGTGGAAAGGAGAGATGTAAGTACCTGAAAGCTGTTGCACGGATGGAAAGTCGAAGGAATGAAAGAGGATTTGTTGATGTTGAGCCTAAGAAAGTTCGTCTAAAGAGCGGTGCAAGCGAGAGGAGTGAGGTTTGGATCATTTATTTCAGGAAGTCTCGTCGCTGCGCTCTCTGAGGATAATTTATTTTATTTTTGGCAAAAACCCTCATTAAGCCCCTCAACTTTTTCAACAGCAATAAGCCCCTGAACTAAAAAGGTGGCGAATAAGCCCTCCAACCTCATGTTCGGGGCAAATCCGCGTGGCACTGCACTTGCATGCTTCATTTGTTTCTAGTAATAATATATATTTATGATTAATTAATTAATATTATATAATATACATATCTTTATGTGATATTTTTT